ATTGTTTAAAAAGTTACATTGTTTGTAAATAGGGTAAACAATAGCAAAGGAACTTTTTATACCAGATATTAAAAAAGTATTTCAAACCTATAATAACAGATAAAAAAAATGGAGTTCTTTTACAGGAACATAGAATAGACCAGTAGACCAGAATGGCTTAAAAAGCTCAAAAAATACTCAGATATTCATCAAAATGTTATATATGGCAAAGGTGGCATGATAAAGCAATAAGAAAAGGACAAAATTCTTAGTATCTTATTTATATGAATTAGCAAGAGTCACATATTGTGCCTTATACACTATACCATGCGCAGAGGTAGACTTCAGCTGTATCAGACATAAAAGCAATAATGAAAAAAGAAATTGTGGAATAACTTTGTAACAAATAAAACATGTAAACTGTCAACAAGATGATATGTTAGATCCACCAAATTAAGAAAAAGGTGATAGATAACAGGCCCCTTTGCCATGGGCCTAACAGTAAGAAAATGAGTCTCCGTGCATGCATTCTTACTGTAACAGGGACAGTTCAGAGAGCAATCTGACAGTTCCTAGTGAAGGCCCTTATGTACAAGAAGTTGTATTTCTGATAAAGAACAAAAAAAATTTTAAAGACAAATACAAGGACTTTCTGCAGCATTCTATACAGTAGAAAGGAGTCTGAGGTAGTCTGGGTGCCTGTCTCTAGGGAAATGGAAATATATATGTAATCCGTAGTACACCCGCACTCTGCACGTCTATGCACTTTGAAAAAATATAGGAGCTATGCATCTAGCCAGCATGTTGGACAGATTTTTTTAAAGATGGTTTCAAGTTGAAAAGGAAAGAAAAGACAAAGATAAACGAAAAGGAGATTGAATAGAGAGACAGGCAGGCATACAGAAAAATAGCATTATACCATTTATGTAAACTAAGAGATAATCATACCCCAGATAGTGTAGTGACATTGCTACATCAAATATATTTTGTGAGTACCTATTGTGAAAGAGAGAATAAATCAATTTTATACATGAAGAAATAATCAAAACAAAACCAAACAAGGACCTTACAACTCCAAAGACAATCCTGTGGCAAAAATATGAGTGTTATAACGGGCTCTCTGCCCTGAGTTCAACAGCAATCAAAACTGCCTCTTGCATTGGGACCTACCACACACAACTGAAGCTTGAACCACATTCTACAATGCACAAGCAGTAATGTTGAAGGAAAGTAGAACAACACAAAACAGGATTACTGAGAAGCAGAGGGTCTATAAGAACATACCTGCCCATGACACTGATTTAGATTTATGGACATCAAATCATGTATCACAGAGTCTTGGAATCTAGATCTAACTGTATGTCAGACTCACCAGGAGAATCTCTTAAATGTGATATTGGTGGTGTGGCCTCCACATTTGTAATCTTAACAAACACTCCCTGGTGAATCTTTTACAACCAGTCTAGCATCAGGACAGACCCCATCATCTTTCTGGTTTTCTTTTTGTTTTTATTCTTTGACAGTTTAATATATGTATATAATCACTTTTAGTTGTCACACCCTCTTCTGCTCATACCTTTTTTTCTTCAGCCCAGCATCTTAAAGACGTGGTCAGACAGTTACAGCCCGATGCTTAATGTTATCTCACCAGACTACCATAAGAAAGGAATGCCATCACAAACACTAATCTTATAATTAGCATTATTATTAGGGAATAATACTAATCTCTCTCTCTCTCTCTCTCTCTCTCTATCTCTCTCTCTCTCACACACACACACACACACACACACACACGTACAAATTACCTGTATTCTGCTGATTAGAAAAACCAAAACTGATTTTTGAAAACCACTCAGTGTCATGTTGAGAATGGCAACATCTGTGTGTGAATCTTTCAGAGGTTTTGTTTGCTTGCTGGCTGACTGGCTGGCTTTATGAGACACTCTCTCTTTGTGTAGACCAGAGTAGCCTTGAACTTGAAATCCTCACAGTTCAGCCTCAGCCATCTGTGCTGGGATTATTGATGTACACCACCAACATCCATCTGAATCTTTGTTTAATTAGGCTGCCCTTACATGATGGTTTTGGCTTTTACAGGGCTGGTGATTGACAGACTGCAAGAGAAAATGTAATGACCAAGGTAGATAGGAAAGGAACGTGTGAAGCTCAACCAGTTCCGAAGTGTTTTGCTCCATCAGGACTTTGTTTCCCTAAGCGCAGGCTTTACTGAAAGCAAACATAAAAATGCCACTGGGGGCCAGGCTCTCAGCTGCTGAGCACAGTGCAAGCCCTTGGGGACAAAGCACGTCTTGCACATTTCTCTTCCTCACTTATGAGAGTGGTAGAGTTTGTCTGACAGCCAAGGTGCGACTCTGACACAGTTTAAGATTGGTGGCATAATAAGAAGAAAGTGAGCCCAGGAGAAAGTGTGAATTAGAAAAAGAAATTATTTTTCTGTTTCTTGTAGCTGTAAATAACCGTACCACACTCTGTACTTCCAAACCTCTAGGCCAAAAGTGGTAGGGAGGAAGAGTTTGCTGGCAAGCTTTTGTTTTGAAGGACACTGTCACTGAAGAATAAGATCGATAAAGATGTGGTTTTCAAACTTTTGTCTCCTGAAACTGATACTTCTCTTGATGCTTACACCTCAAGCAGCAAACATTCACCTACCCTCATTCTTCATTCCACCCACCGTCAAACCAAGCAAGGTGTCCTGTAGATAAAGGCCATGGTTGTGTACTTCCTTTCCTGGGCTGGGGAAATTGACAAACAGAAGTAATATGGCAGTGAGATGACTAGTAATTTTGTTGCTGAGACAGGTTGAGGTTAAAAAAAATAGTGAAAGGAAGCTAAATCACAGCAGAGGAAAGGAAGAAATTCTGTAGTTGGTGGTAAAGACCACACAGCCAAGCCTCTAGGAAACTGAGTGGTACCTGGAGACTGCAAATCAAACTGTATTTGGACATGGCTCAAGAGCTTGTTACAAATACAGAAGCTCATGGCTGTTGGTGGAACTACTAAATGAAAGCATACAATTTAACAAGCCACCAGCTGATTTGCATTCATTTAATAATTACCAATGTGTTTCCTAATTTTAGGCTCAGTAAATTAATAAACACATGATAACAAATCAGGAGGTTTATTAAGTTGATACTTAATACTTTAGTTCTTTTACAATGACTGCAGAAATAGCTCTTTTTTAAAAAAAAAAAAAACCATAATATCAAAATTCTAAGTCCTCAAGCTCTTTTGTGACTGTCAAGCCCAGGTCTCTGGACCCTTAATAGCATGTGGTAAAGAGTATAAAATCACTGTCTCCCAACAGCTGTTTGGAGCTCAGCAACTCCCCACGCATCAGGTTCATGTCCTCACTCTGGATGTGAGAAACTTTCCTCTAACATGATGAAACCATGCTGCAGCAGGGCCATCTGTATCCCTGCCCCAGAGAGAATTTTTCATAGTGTACCAAGTTATGTTTATGGCCAGGCTAAAGCACATGCTTAGCCTGATCAATATCAGAGAAACTGGTCTACAGTCTATGTAAGCAAGAGGAAAATGACCTCAAGGAGCAGCCCACTGCAACAGTCCATAAATAAATTGGCAGATGTGTCAACTGTGCACATTAATCCAGAAGTGCAGTTCTTTGGGGACTAAAGTCCAAAGACAAAGACATTTGTGGGTTGCCGGTCAATCTGGAGCATTTCTTCTAATTTTTCTGGATGTGTTTTTGACAGGAGCTTAAGGGCAGTTCAATAAATTAAAATGTATTTACATGGCAATGAAGAATTATCTTGACATACTGAGAGTTATTTAATTACCAAGGTGCTTTGCGTGCTGCTAAAGTTAAGACTGTGTCAGCCTTTCTGGGACAAATCTTTATTTTCAGGGCCATGTGGCTCAGCCAGGAATGATCCCCTGGGTTGGAGCTTGTCAGTTATAGAAGATGAGTCTCCTTGCTGACCCCCATTTCCATAGACAGCTCTAAACAGATCGGTAATCTCAATGTCAGACATCATGATGAAGTCAGCGCTGCCAAGGCCAAATGTCCCTCTTCAGGGATGTGGCCTCCCTCTCAGAGGAATTGTAAATGAAGTCATACCCCATTTGCAGTCTTCAAAGCATGTCAGGGTTGCTGTCTGTCTGCATGGCATTCAGAGAGCTGTCTTAAGGCATCAAAAGGTAGGTGTGCAGTGTCCATGCTGGCAGCAGCAAAGCACAGTGGGTAGGAAGTGACCTCGTATGAACGGGGACAGAGACAGTTTCCCCAAACTACACTATATACTAGTCCTACACCTCTGGGATCCAGCAAAGAAGGGATTATAAGAGAGAAAGGACAGGAGCTTTGGAAGCTCAGGATTAAACTTCTAACCTAACTGGATAGGCGAGAAACAGAAAAAATAAAATTGCCTCAACCCTCCTAGAACATCTATCTATTTCCAAACTGAAGGACTGGTCATTGATTTTGATAAGAGACAGTTTTGGCAGGAGATAGAAGTAGTGACTTAGAGTCTCCCTTGGGCTAACCCAGTCAAGGTGGCGAATTATCTCAAATAAGTATGAGGCAGAAAAGCCAAGCATCACCCCCAACTCCTCCTACTCCTCCTTTCCCTCTTCCTTCTCCTCCTCCTTTTTTCATGCTTCTTCTTAAGAAACAAATCAAGATGTTTAAGGATGAACCCTGATACTATAACCAATAACATTGCAGACTTAAATCTGTCATCAAAACCAATGTGGCTGTGTTAAAGGAGTTCTGTACAAATCAGGAAACCTAGGTGTATATTAGTTTAACCACTGTGAGCTGTGGGTCATGAGAGAGCTGTTTGCCTTTCCAATTCTGATTTTCCTCACCAACACATGGGCTTGAATTACTAAGTTTAGTTTATTACAGTGGTAGGATTCTATTTCATTCTATTTTTTTAGAACTATAACTGTTTCCTCATCTAGTCCTTCTGCATAGTTATTCCCCTATAGGGGATTGTAAAAACCTTAGCAACTGAACTGTTTCAAATTCATTCCTATAGGTCCAGACATCTCGACTCTGGTGGTGGGATCTGACATTAGCCACTGTCCCAATACCGCTTGGCCCACCTTCCGTGGCTACCTGCATAAGAGGACTCACTCAGGCTTTGTGAAGGGCTGGAGGAAGAGGTGGTTTGTGCTGAAACATGATGGCTATCTCCGCTATTACAAACATAGAAAGGTAAACTGAGGGAAGGAGTAATGACTGATGTGGGTAAGAGCAAGAAATGTTGGGAAGTGTATTCCTTTGAACTTATCCATGCTCAAAAATTACCTTTTTGGGACCCATATTGTAGGTCTCAAAGACGACAGACTCCCCTATGAGTGCCCAGGAATCAATCCTCCTTCAAAAGCCAGAGGATTGTAATTTATGCTCTTCTACTGCATGAATCAAGACTGGCATACGCTTCTTTGTCATTTATTTCTGTTTTGATCCCCTATGAAGAATTTCTTATCAAACTCAGGACCAAATTAAATTCCTCATACTGTATAGGTAAATAAAGGTGAGTCTCAGGCAAAACATAGTTCCTTGAGACAGGATACCTGAGCATGGTTCCCTGTTGGCAGAATCTGGATGCTATTGAGGTTTCTAAGGCAGAAAAGTCACCTGGAATACCTTGATCACTTTCCAGATTTCATGACAGCAGTGATTTCTAACTCTAGTTGAAGGTTGGAATCACCTAGGGAATATTCTCAAAGCTGTGTTGATAACAGTCCTCCTCCTGGATGTAATGAATGGGGCAAGTCACTGGTCTCAGGCCTCTGTGCCTCGGGAAAGCTCTTCAGGAGACTCTAAGATGCAGTTCACACTTTGTTATCACATCAATGACTAATTTTGTTAAAAAGATGCGAACATGCTTAAAAAACAGATATTTCATATAGAACCCCAGGTTTCTAATTTTCGAAGTATTTCTACCAGCTGTCAGAAGCTGAATAGATTCCCTCTTTTGCATTCTCCAGTCAACAAAGGACACATTGTGTCCCACTGCTCTGCACCCTGTTGGCTTCACTCAATGACATTTTTGACCCACCTCTAATCAGTGTTCAAAGCAAGAATTTTGGCTTTTTACCTCATTCATGGCACAATCTTACTTTTGCTGCCCAATGTTTTATGTTTCTCTAGTGTGCGCATATACATATATACGTAGCTACTTAGATACTTACATGTATGTATGTGTAAATTACCTCTGTGTGTATATGTACCTGTATACAAACAAACTTAATTTCTTCCTGTAACAAGGCAATAAAGAAATAAGTGCATTATAAAACTAAGGAACTATCTGCATACTGAATTATTGCGAAGATTTTCTATTCCTGCAGTATGAACCACATACTTGTGACACAGAGAATGAAGTGATCAGCTGTTCATGGCGAAGTCAGCCAAACAGGTCCTTTGAAAAACTTTGTCTCCCTTCAGTGCAGGAAAATAAGATTCTTCCTAAGCAGGAGGAGAAATGCTTGTCTGTCCTCTTTTCTATTTTCTTGAGTATTAAAGTGGAACAGACAAGAAGTTTTCAATCTAAAAAACATCTGTGGAAACATCAGAAACAAGTTTCCAATCTGTGGAAACATGTACATTCATGTTTGAGAACCCTGGAGGAGTTCCCCCATTCTGTCTCCTGGATGTCTCAGTGCGGTCCTGGAAACTCTTATGTTCTTTTATAAGCTTTTAAGGTTAGTATGATTTGTAAGCCGAGGAAGTATAGCAGCAAATTTATTCCTATCTAAAGTCAAAAAACAAGAACAATCACTAATGAAGCTTGCACATTGTTCCCGGGAAGTTGTGATTCAGAGATTGTGTCCCTCCTGCCTTTCATTGATAAGTTGTGTTTTTTCTTATAAAATAGTGAGCACACTAGAGGCCGAGCTTTGAGGCCCTTCTTCAGCAAAATAAATATAAGAATCTACTGTAAATCAAGTATCTCTTTTTTTTAAGGTTTCTGGACACTGAGATTCAGAGTGGGCCTGACGCCAATATTTTTGGACTGGATTTGCTAGTTGGCTATCAAGGAACTGGTGTTATATTTGACTTACATGGGGTTTTTATAAACTTTTGTAATTAATGTATTCAGGTGAAGAATATACAATTTCCCATAGCCCCCACTATTCCGTACTTCGTTATCTACGTATTTGAATTACCTACCAAACCTTTGGCTTGAATAAGTATGGTGTCTGAGCTGGAATGGATATGAAAAGTTTAAACTATATTGGTAATTGTGGTTAAATTTAAGATTTTTTAACTGTTTCTAGTCTTTGGGAAAAAATGTGGCTCTTATGATTAGGAGGAAGCTTGGAAAAGCTACTTTGAACAATATGATTATGACCATCATTGTCACAAGAGTGTTTGATGCAACTATAGTAGAATATAAAATATTCATTTATTTCATTTTAAGGAGTCCGTATCAGATAGATCCCTCATAGTGCTACAGATTCCAGAATGCATTATGTCTGATCTATAAAATAGACAGCAATGGCTGAGAAGTTAATGGGGCATAGAAAGAACATAGCAATAAATTAGCAGAAAATGAACTCAGCCATTCAAAAGTCATTCATGCAACAAATATTTATTGAGTACCTTAAAATGATTTATTTTCTTAATTTTATGTATATGAGTGTATTGCCTGCATATATGTAAATGCACCCATGTTGTGCAATGCCTATGGAGGTCAGAAGATGGCATCAGATTCCCTACAACCTGAGTTATGGACAGTTGTTAGCTGCCACATGGGTGCTGGAATTCAAACCCAGGTCTTCTGCAAGAACAGCTAGTGCTCTTAACCACTGAGCCATCTCTTCAGCCCCTTGAGTACTTTTTATAAGTCAAGCATTATGTAAGCACCAGAAAGACAACCAGACATAATGCCTGTCCTGTTTGTGCTTACAGTTCTATGGAAGAAATCGATATTAGGAAATAAACCCACAAGTAAATATGTAATTGTAGTTAGCATTATAAATGAGATTACAACAAGAAAAAGCTAATTATAGCAGTCTAATTGAATCAAGAAATAGAACCAGGGGTTGGAGAGATGGTACAGTGGTTAAAGAGCATTGGCTGCTCTAGGAACTGGGTTCACTTCCCAACACTCCTGTTGCAGCTTACAGTGGTCTATAACTCCAGTTTCAGGGGATCTGACACCATCTTCTGACCTCCCCAGGCACTGCAGGACATGGGTGCACTTACATACACGCAGGCAATACACTCATACACACAAAATAAAAACAATAAGTAATATATTAAAAAATAAATAGAATCACACATCTTTGAGTGGAGGAAGTTTAATACAAAGAATTGTTAAATTATGATAAAAAATAATTGTGGGACATAATAAAACTCAATATGGTACCAAGGAGGCATATCACAGGAAGGAAACACAGAAGGGATGCCCTCTCCAAACCTGGGGTTTCAGATGTCATTGGAGGGATGTGGTTAAATGGATAGCACAGCAACTCCCTGGTTTGCCAGGCTAGAGGACTCTATATTCCCAGTATAAATGTGAAGCAACCCTTTGGAGCAGAGATGGAACAGGAACCCCTCAGCTGGTGTTTGGGGCATAGTGTACCATGGGAGTGAGCATTCTCATGTGGCAGGAAGCCTAGAATATGAGATGTCCTTATCACAAATCCCTGTCAGAAGAGATGGTGTAGGAATGACTAAAAGACACACCTGGGGAGAAGAGACATACACAGAGAGAATCAGGGCACCAGGATATATAGGAAACCTGCATAGGTTGTCCATATAGCAAAGATCACAGGAAGGTGACCACCAGCCCTGCTAGGGATTTGCATATTCTGGGTACATGGCTGGGACAAAGCATCCTCTGATGTCTATAGACCCACACTCCAGGCCCCTCCTGCACAGCTGGGGAGAACAAGAGCCTTCCTTTTGCTGCAGTGTTCTTCTAGTGCCCTCTACTGAGAAATCTTTGCACCATCATGCTTTCTGTAAAGAACTAGACAAAGGAATCCAGACTTTCCAACAAACCAAATACTAAGGGGTGATTAGAAGCTAAGAGACACTGAGAGAAATAGATTGACAACTGGAAAAAGGGTAAAAGGAAAAGTCTGGATAAATTAGCAAAAGAGGGGACTAGGTAATGAATTCCTTGGCAGGGAGCAGCATATAACGTTTCAGCTGAGAACTGAGGGCCAAGTAGACATTAGAAAGCTGGGATAAGCACTCATTCTCCAGGCCAAGGAAACAACATACATGAAATCTCTAAGCTATAAAACAGCATGTTAAATTTGGGGAACTTATTTTTTTAAAGTCCATTGTGGCTAAAGTCGGAGCACAATGGGGAAGAAAGAAGGAAGATTAATCTAGAAGGTGAGCAGGAGGCAGCCATTCAGGGCCTCAGACAAAAACGGGGGATTTGGGGTATTCTTCTGACCACAACAGAATGATAGAAAACATCTCAGGTAGTGGAATTTTCAAAAGTTCACTCTGCTGGGCATGGTGGTGTACATCTTTAATTCTAGTACTCAGGAAGCAGAGACAGGTGGATCTCTGTATGATCAAGGCCAGCCTGGCTTGCATAGGGAGTTCCAGGCCAGATGAAGCTACAGGGAGACCGTGTCTCAAACAGCACACAAGCAAAACGTCATTAAAAAGTTTATTCTGACTGTGATGTTGAAAATGAATTCGAGGGTAACAGGAGCAGGATAAACAGCACTAAGAAAGGGAGTGCTGCTTTGGTGGCAAGAGACAATGGTAGTCTTGAACCAGATGAGAATGGAAAACCAAGTAGATGCATCACCAGATGCATTTAAGAACAGAAATCCATAAGAGTTTGGTTTTATGAAGGTGATTGGTTTTCCAATGCTGCCAAAAGGGCATACTATATGAGTACTGGAAGCATTAGAAGCATTAGAAGCTGTTGGTGAGTGAAAGAAAGCAGAATAATAGGGTAACCGAAGCTATTTAGTCCATGTACAATTAATGTAATTACTAATAATAATTTCTAACATTATTATTTTTTCTTTCAGTTTTCCTGTTCTGGTCTATATTTTTCTTCCTTTCAGCAAATTAGTTTTATCGTATTGTTTAATCCTTACCTAAAAGATTGTCATATATATTTAGACTATTAGAGCCTGATATAAAAACTAGTTGTAATATTTTATGGACATTATAACATTTAATTTAACCGTGTCCTAAGTAATCTATTTGTAATATCATTTATACAC